TCTAGACTGTCGGACTCAGCAGCTACATATCATGTCATGTTATCCTCGAATGATCCTAATGGACAAATTAGTTGAGCGCTCGAGCATCAAAATACTAGTACCTTCAAATACTTATTCATCCACGATGTAAGTTTATCCATAACCACTATCAAGTTGTATTGATAACTATAAACCCTACATTGGAATGATACTACCAAAGGTCAGCAACGCAATCTAGTCCAAAATTTCAGCAGTCTTAGAGAGATGGAGGGAGGGCAACACTAAACTTTGTACTTTATTTATTGAAAATGCAACAAGACATTACACTGACTCTCAAGGCAGCAAAGCTGATGTTAGAGAGTCAACACATAAGGACAAAACATATAGGGCACTTAATGTCAACAGTGTGAAATTACAAAAAAAAATGATCATAAGAACCTATATCATTCCAATTAGCCAAGTAAATATATGTACACATCTAAAATAACACATTTGGAGGTCAGAGGTCGATAAAATAAGTCACAGTCAGACTACCTTATATGAGAAAAAAAGGATACTAAATAACAAGGTTAGAAAGGAACAGCTGGAAGTGCCTAGAAACGGTTTGTTGAAGTGATGTAAGTGTGGAAGGAGTGTGAGAGGCTTTCGTTTAATGTAATGTCATTGCCCGGGGACCCGTTGAGTAGAACGCTGGTGGAGAGGGGCCGTCTCACGAGGCGGTACACAGCAGTGGCAAGGTCTTGTCGTGCCGCTGCGTGCAGTGGGCAGTGCAGGAGGAAATGTGTGACTGTCTCCGAGGTTGCACCACAGGCACATCCCCGGCCGGTAAGGTTAAACTTGGCCAGCGTGGAGTTAAGCTGGCACCAGCCGATGCGGAGTCTCGTGGCAAGTATGTTGCTGCGGCGGTCACCGAGCCTACGGTACCCCTGGTGGTGACGGGATTGTACTTGTACTTTGTACTTCGTAACACTTGCAGCGTAGATGCGACCACAAATACCTGTTGGTTGAGATGTGGCTATGGTACAGACAGGGAAAATTCAAGACACCAAATGTATGCATGAATGTCGTCAAATATCAATTTTGGGGTGTATTTCATTGTAATAAAAGCTGTCAGACGGATACTGTTAGTTTACATTGATATTTGCTGCCTCCCAGTACTATTAGAACTCATCTACCAGCGAAAAGATAGTTAATCCGCAAATATAAGAGGGTGTCCTCAAGCAACAATAATTCGTTATTGTTGGTACATTTGCATATTTCTTATCTTATCTGTATGTTTGAGACAAAAACAACTTTATAGATTACCAGACTGCAGCTATAAATCAGACATTAATCACATATCTCGAAATGCTACTTTAACCACCGTGTAACCTTATCCGTGACAGATATAAGACGGTATGAGTCCACTTCGCCGTGAATTGGAAATGATACTACTGTAGATCTGTGACACAATCTAGTCTTTCTATCGTCTTGGAGAGGTGGAGGCATATCAGAATCCCACCTCTTGTGCCTAATACTATAGGGTGGATCCTGCTTACTATCAGGTAGATGACTATATTCTAATTATTCTAAATTGTAACACTGGAAAGATAACATTTGCAAGGCAAATGCATAATGTTTACCTTCGTATATGGTCTGCTCTGTTAATTCGTCGATGAAGGTTAGACATCCAGGTAATACGAGATGCCAAAAAGCAGTTACTCAAGCAACTGGATATGATTTGGAAAGAAACTGGATATGATTTCCAAAGTCATTATCCAGTTGCTTGAGTAACTGCTTTTTGGTGCTCTCTTAATTCTTACTCAAACACATTCGTATACATGGTCAGACAGGAGTCTAAATCCACCCTGCTATAAAATTGGAACATGATGTAACTCAACAGTAGTTGCTATCATTATGGTAAATAGATGTTTATTGCAAATTCATGCCCGAGGGCTAATTGCATACAGACATTAACAAGAAAAATGTGGTGATATAAGACTATTTGCTAACAACTTCTACGTGTACGATATACTTATCGAACCTACTATCTCTACTTAAACCTAATAACGTTGGTATACATACAGGGTAAAAAGTAGATATACAATATGTGACCAGGTAATAGGAACAAAGTAACTGCTATTCTAATCTATTTTATTCTATTAAACTATTCTTGCCATGCTATTAGGGGGTTTGACTTCTTCTCAGGAGGCAGTGGGAGATGAACTGTCCGACTCTTTGAAAAATAAATGGGTTGGGAGACTTTAGCAATAATATAGTCTTTTGTTGTTGGTTGAGATATGAAAAACTTGGGGAAATATTGGCGACTTCTTTGAATAACTTTTTTCTTTCAAAATCGTAACGAGGACACTGACAGATAAATAAGATTAAAAGACACAACATGTTACATTTGGATCAGGTCATTGAGGTCACTGTTTGGAGGAGAAGAAGAGGAGGAAGAAGAATAAGAAACTGAGCAAATACGTTTTCCTTCGGTGAACATAATAATTAAAACGGCTTCATATGAAGGTAGCATTTTTTGCCACACGTCTATGATCGTCAATGTTTAATGCCATACTCAAGACTACAAAATGCACGTATACGGGCTATCCCCATCGGCCATCGTCATATGGCATCCTGCATCCTGGTAACACCGATCAATGATAGGTCGTATGGGGGCCCGCAAGCCCTTTTCCGTAGAGCGTAATCTGCCGTTTTAATTCTACGTAGAGCGTAGACGGACCGCTCTTCGCATTTTGCGTAGAGCGTATTCGCCGTTTTAATTCTACGTAATGCGTTGTAGCCACTTGGAATTTATCGTAAAGCGTACTCGAGGGTTTCCGAATTCAGCGTAGAGCGTTGTCGCCCCCCCCCCTTGCAGGCCCTCTCGTATCTCTCCTTGGAGGCAAACAGGAAGCTCCTAATGTTTAAAAATCGGACTGATTTGTGCAGATAGAAACTGGTTACTTTCGGCCCTTACACAGGACACACTATAGATGACTTTGAATCAGCGAGCAAAGTAACAGCGTTTACCAGAAAACATAGAGTCTTAGAGGTTCTCCCCGGTTAGTTGTGTACGTACGCGTGTTCTCACAGGAAGACAACGTTAAGGTCCTGTTCCACACTGTACTGTCTCTCACTTTGATTTGTGGTTGTCGATCGGAACAATAAATCACCAACTTAGACATTTATATCAGAACAAACAGGCCCTGTATCTGAACCTACTTTTATTTTCTTTTAAGTTACTAGTACCGGTGCAATGGCCAAGTGGAGTCAGAGTGCGCGCCTAGCATTCAGTAGGTCGTGAGTTCGATCTCCGAGTCATACCAAAGACTTTAAACTCTTTAAAGGAGTACTAACCTCCAGAAGGAAGTGCTATTTTCCGATACATCATGCTACAATGAATACATAACTAGCCGACGTTTTACATAATTTCGCTTGTACGACTTGCGCGGCGCATGTTTGTAAAGTGATATTAATATCATTTTCCCCCATGCTGAACCACAATTGATACATCCGGGAACTCTGGCTTACGCAATACTCATACACTTCAGGTCAACATACACATTTTTCGGCGAAAATGGTAGGAGACAAGCACACTAACAAGCTGATTATTGAGAAATTACTTGTTTTACTTTGCTTGACCTGTGGCTTGGATATTATAATATCGGGATGTGGAATACAGTGGGAGCCGGCCAGTTTCATCCTGCGTGTTTTGATTTTCTCAACTTATTTGCATGTAAGTATTACTTGAACAGATAATTAGATTACGCCACTTATGGAAAGGACAACTAGATTACGCCGTTTTTTTCATCGTCAATATTTGCGGCATAAATGAGGGGCGATAAGGACACCAAGAAGGACAATGGTTGGTAAGATACCAAAGAACACAAAACGGTACGAATTTTTCTTATCGCCCCCGAAATGAGGTCTGTAACGTAACTTTTTGTTTAAAACATAGACACCAATGGGGTAGCGTGGTGTATTCTGGGATAGTTTTGAGGGTATTTGGAGAGTTTGTCCTGGATTCGATGCGTTTTAAGACTTGCGCGCAAAATGGGCATTTAATGGTATACTGTAAAATAATATGCATTTTTCACTTAAAAAAAATGCCTGTCGAAATATAGCACCCCCTTCTGGAGGTAAGTACTCCTTTAAAAAATGGTACATAGTGCTTTCTCTGTTTAGCACTCAGCATTTGGGAAAGAGTATGGGAGTTAAACACACACCACTACCAGTGGACTAGCCTCCTGTAGTGACTGCTGTGTGTGGCCCATGGCTAATGAACGGAGATTGTCGCCGCCCTATGCGACACTTGACGCGGGAAGGCCCTTTAACTTTAACTTTAAGTACTCGTATCCTACCTCGGTTCAGCTATTAACACTGGCGACACATCTGAAGTTGACATACCTAATGTCACGCTTCACTCGACTAATGTTGGCGTATGTTGTTACGTAAATCAGTCACCACATGTACTGACACAGTACTGTACCAATTTTTCAACTTTCAGTAATGTTTGTGTATTTGTCAGAGACATATCAGAAGCATTTGGGATATCCTTGCTATTATGCGCGATGAATTAAGGCTGACAGCAGCCATAGTGTGCGCGGGGAACTTTGTGGTAAACACACATGTCGGAACTTTCGTAATTTAGTCCTACTGGGTTACGTGGTTAAACCCGTCGAAAAAGGATACATCCATGCGCTGCGCAGTGTTCGTGTCTACGTGGCGCTACAGATGGCATTACGTAAGCTGCCATTACCATGTCTGTTCGTCTCCAGGAGGGACTGGCAGGGGTTACCATGGATACGTCTAGTCCATTTCCGGAAATTGGGTGAGAGCTTTGATTCCATTGGTTGTTGCCACGTACACAGCCCTTCCCCGTTTTCGATATAGTCCTGGCAGAAAGTGAGCTTAGCCCAGAACAGATCTGACACCCGAGGACCACTGACACAGCCCGGCAGACAAGCCGCACAGGTCGACACGTCCCCAGTCTTCTCACCGACTATTCAGTCACAGTAAAACAGTTGACGACACAAAGTGTGTCAGAAGTTATTTTTTAGACAATATTTCATCGTCAGTCCAGAACGATACAGCGAAGGGATATACATGGTGAGTTCTATTTTTTTTCCAAATATAAGCTGTGAATTTGTTTTGTGTTTTTTTCGTTGCTTTCTACTTTTACAAAGTTGTTATCGTCAATTTTATTGGTAAGTTCATCTGTCGTCCAGCCTTAAAACGTTTAGTTGAACGTGGACTGATAAATGGTATATGATGTAAAATCTAAACCTAGCTACTAAGGTACGTATAAATGTACGCTGTAATCTTGAATAGAGTCTTTTCACTTCGGTCCTTAACACTTTAACAGTCAGTTTACTTTAACGGCCTTTCCCGGTCACAAACAAGAATCATTATCGGTCAGTATTGCTGCTCTTGCAACATACTCTCTACTTCTCATTCTTGAGCAAAATAACCCCCAAAATGTAACAGGTCGCATTTCCTCTAAGTGTTCACACCAGCACTCTAGGCGAAGAGAAACGCGGCAGACGGAAACGTTACAGGTGTTGCATTTGTACACAGTCTCGTGTGGCCTCGGACGTCTCGCTCCCGGCATCAATTGGCGCGCTTTGGCGCAGTAGCGGCAGCCTCGCGTCGGCTTCCCCCGGCGAACTTGCTCGTGTTTACCGATGACTAGTCCTGTCCCGGGGTTGACGACGGGCGGGTTCCTAGCTCCAGGTATGTAATCGTATGCGATTTGCAGAGAATCGCACAGCGAGTTTCGTCGTCCTAGGGGACGAAAGTCGCAGGCTGCGAGTTTCTTCACCTGAGAGCGGGGGCGCGCAGACTACCCTATTCGTGCGAATATGGTCGATATTACGCTGGGTCGCGCACACATACGTAGGTAACCCCTATTCGTGCGACTGGGGCCGCGCACTGCTCTTTACCTACCAGCCGGGCCGGGCAGACATTTACCGATGTTGTGTTCGTTCATCTGCACTCCTTATATCCTCCTTGTTCAATGTCGTACGCACCCCGATCTGGGGAGGACGCGCAGGCCAGGCCCAGCTCAGGGGGCCGAAAAATTCAAAGGAACCCTTTGGGTACGCACAACTTGTCCAGCATTCTCGTTGGATCGCAAGGGAATAGAAATAAACAAAAGCTTTATAGACATATCCTTCTGGTAATCTGTGTCTGTGCAGTATTTTTCAGGTAGAATCCAAGGTCAATACAGCAGTTTGCGCCGCCAAATTATTCACTTCCGGTATTAAAGTTTGTCGCTCAGTAGGCAGGATAACATCCAAAGGTAAGTGATCGCAGCAGAGCGGCACATACCGGGTGAGATCATCAGGCACACAGCGCCGTGGAAAAGGTTTGTATTGCATCTAGCTACAGAGAATAAATATTTCCCACATTATTTTTTTAAGTAGTAGTCTACCAAAACCAGAGAACGATTTGTTTGTAGGCTGTCTTATTCGTAGAATAAGCGTATAGCCAATCGGAATGTAAAATGTCGGCGTATGAACCGACAAAGAAAACAATGATTGTGTGGTGAAGTCTTTGTTCATTATGTTTCCGCTAGGAAAATAATTTGATATTGCCTACTATGCATGATTTTAGTAAAGCATTTTTATCATAGCTGTCTGCTCACCAACATAATGCGAGCAAGCAACCTGTTCGGTGGGAAAGCACTCTACCCCACGCGTGGAATTTCATTCAACTTCACCAAACAATAAAACACCATTGCCTAACAATAAAGTACTTGGCGTTGTCCACCAGATGTCCTAAGAAAACAACAGGACTATTTCATAAGGTGTGGATGAGAAAATGACGACAAACAATATGATCATAGAAATGGTGAAATACGGTGACTTCTACTAGCCGATCATTGATCGTTTACCTGTTGCAAAGTCTTTGGAATGGCTTGATTCGTATCTGTTTAGTTCTTACCTTTGTGGTGTTCAGACGTGCTCTTTCGAAGTTTTCTACCGTCAATAATTTGTCGAAATGCGAAACGTAGCCTGGGTACCATCCTGGTTAGTACACAACACTTTACGTCCGCTCCCACAGTCGCATTAGCCTGGGTACCATCCTACTTGTATGCCGGGGCTCCCACACTCGCTTCCCTAAGGGTACAGTCGCATCGCTCACACACAAATTTAAAGGAAAAACAACAATACAGTCCTTCTCAGGACTAAGTGGCCTAACCTGGCTCCAACAATTAATCCCAAAGTCGTTGCCGGTCAATTACGACCCGCGGGCGCGCACACGCCAAGACAATAATTTATTCCAGTTGGAAACTTTCTTGTAGCGCTGTATCATACATATAATGAGTAATGTCGGGGTAGTCGTAAAAATGATAATGAATATATAGGTTATTATATCATAGTATTCTTCTGCAACTATGGCTCCAACACGCCGCAGGAGTGAGTTTGGCAGGAAACGTGATGCATTCTGGGGCGTTCCTTCAGAGGACAATGACCCCTTGGATGCAGCTCTTAGATGTAAGCCACCAACAAATTATCCAAAGAAAGCTAAATTCTTCAACATTTAAGTTTGTATATACTTTAAGGTCATATAAATTGTCCTTCTAAATTTTACGATCAATCTGAACAAATAAATTGGAACGGTGTACTAGAACGCAGCTTGTGAACGTATCTACTAAAAATACAGAAACACAAGACAACCTACCTGTTCTCGGTGGAAGAACTTGATACCCACGGTAAGCCTCTGAGTGCTATCGTTGGGTTCTTCGGCACATGTACCGGCAACATGTGGATGGTGCACCGATCGGCTGGCCAGCTGCAGCTTCGCCCAGTCAGCTTACGTACATGTACTTGCAATATTTCTATATAAACTATGCTACATCGTGTTTCATTTTCCCACGTTACACATACCGAAGATATAGAAAATATCTTTATTTGAACAGGAATGTTTATCAACCTCTTTTATTTGCAGTATAATATGAACTATTCTTGATAGATTCCGGGCACCCTTGACGGCGTCTTAATATTTGGGCGCCATTTTGTTTACTTTGTTTAGAATATTTGCCCAGACGCTTTTTATGTCTTACACCATGGAATTTCCCTGCGTTGATTAACAACGTAAGACTAGTGATGCAATGTATGAATATTTTCCACATACTACTTCAAGTTGATGTCTTTAACATTGTGTAAATGTTGATTTTCTTGTTGTTTGTGAAACGCAAAAATTTATGAGGAGCGAGTAAACCGCGACTCCAGCGAATTTGTACGTCTGGTAGCACATTGTCCAAAAACGTCTGTGTTTTTTTTCTAATTTCTTTTACACAATAGAAATGTGAATACCAACGCAGGGCACATGAATAAAATCTATTCCACATTAGCCCCATTTTTGTTGTGTTGTCTGGCTATTTGTTGGCGTCACGTATACATGGGCGCCATCTTTTTTTTTACGATATGCGTAGATCGAAGTTACAGATGAGGTTTAGTTTGAGGTTTAACCGCTAATTTCCCTATATAAATGATAGTATTTCATTCTCCATAGCTATCACTGAGTATATTTGCAGTTTATTTGGAATTATCCAGGTGCATGACCTGTACCCAGTGCTGGCGCTTTCTCCGAGTTCCATGTTCCCAGTTTCTGTAAATTGAATTAATTTTCTGTAAACCCCTGCAGAGAACATCGAGTTAAACTGTATCAATTTGCGATCTTTTTCTAACCTATAGCTGATCAAGAACATTATATTTATATTTACAAATCTAGTTCTGCTAATGAAGTGCAAGTGAACACAACGTCGGTAAATGTCTGCCGAAGTTCCGATAGAGAGCCGTGCGCGGCCCCGGGTAAGTATGGAAAGCTTCGCACGTATATGGTTACCTACGTGTGCGCGACCCAGCGAAAGATCGACGTTATTCGCACGAAAGGGTTGCCTATTGTATGTGTGCGCGGCCCAGCGTAGGGTCGACGATATTCGCACGAATAGGGTAGTCTGCGCGCCCCCGCTCTCAGGTGAAGAAACTCGCAGCCTGCGACTTTCGTCCCCTAGGACGACGAAACTCGCTGTGCGATTCTCTGCAAATCGCATACGATTACATAGCTCCTAGCAGGAACTCTGCGTCTGGCCGGAAATTCCCCACGAGCTGCCGCACCAACGCTCGGCGAAATCTCAGCTGGGCAGTTTTGTGGGCGAGAAGCTTCTCGCGGCTTGTTTCAGTTGTGTAGGCCTTCCAGTTTAGGTATGCATTCACTATACTGCTTTGTTCAGCATATACCATTACAGTTGCCTGTGCCACTTCTTCGACGGGCGCCCAAACTCGTAGGAAGACCTTAGCTGGTCCGCCTTGTCAACCGCCTTGTAGTAGCGATTATACAAGTCCACCATCGCTGGACATTGCACCTTCTGACGGATAACTCCTCCTCCACGACCTTTCGATCGCCTGGTAACTTGTACATCGGGAGCACCGACGCTTGTCGCCGTCGATAAGACGATGAGCGTCCTGGTGTCTTTCCACTTCCCGTAAGCGGCCCGTCGTGGTACCGGACGGAGTAACCTCTCGGCACGTTCTGCTTAGGGAATGGATCACGGGTGCTTTGTGTCGGCCGGCGGCCACGATTACATCTCGACGGAATGGGATGCCGTAGAGTCGGTAGACTCCACGCATTCCTTGTCATGGTCCAAACCAAGTACGTGTCCTTCGCAAAAAGATGGTCTGCCAGCTGGGCGCTTGTATAGCAAGAGTCACAGAAAACACTGCGTTAGCGACCTTGGAACGATAACGTCAACCTACAATGTATGTACGATGCGAGCCAGCTTCAGATCGAGAGGGCTGATTTGGTCGTCACCAACGCCGTGCATAGCTCTTTGGTACGCTGGCATGTCCTCTGGATCCGACCGTGCCCCGGACACTTCGTCGGCCAGGATATAGCCATCGGGTTCGGCAAGAACATGCAGACAATACCCATGCATATGGGTTGTACTGGCGGAGGTGATGTCTACCCCGCAAAGCTACCATCGCTTCGTCAACTACGAGGTTTTCATCGACGTGGTGGGCAGACCTACTATTCTCGTTCACCCGTTCCATGACTTTACGCACGTTCATGACCCGGTCCAGCCTCTACCTCGCTTTGAAAGC